CCTTCCTTCCTTCCTTCCTTCCTTCCTTCCTTCCTTCCTTCCCTCCCTCCCTCCCTCCTTCCTTCCTTCCTTCATCTCTTGAGGATGTTCCCTAATTGGATCATGAAACATCTGCATGAAAACCACCAAGCTCAAGAGCACCCCTCACTTCAACCCTGAAACACAAATATTCTCCTTTCTTCCCTCCAGAAAAGAAACCCATCTGAAGGCTTGCTGCTACTTCATCCATACCCCCCCTCCTTGCAATTTCTCACCCCTCCAGAAGAGCCCAGCCCTTCTTCCAAGGGTTACGTGAAGACCCCGCGGAGATTCGGACCCTCACCTCTCTCCTGGCTTTCCGAAAAGCCGTTAAAACCTGGCTGTGTCGGCAGGCCTGGGTTTGATGAGCTCCCTTCCCCGCTCGACAGGTGTGGTTGCTGGCCATTTTAAATGCCTGTCTTGTATTTGTATGTTCCCCTTCCCGTTTGAGTTGTTCGCCGCCCTGAGTCCCTTCGAGGAATAGGGCGGCATATAAATAAAACAAAACTTCAAAATTCAAAACCAAGGGCCGCCGTTGGGCCTGAAACTTACAGAGCCGCCATCATAGCTTCTTCTTCTGCCTGCCGGATGGCGCTGAGCTCCTCTTGGCGGGACAGAGACGCAGCGCCTTTCTTCTCCTTGGCATACCAGGTGAGGTCCTTGCCCTTCTGCCAGCGGCCTACGGGGGCCATCAGGGAGTTCCCTGAAACGCAAGTAAAAGGAGGATTCACAATGTCGGAGCAGAATCACGGAAGGATCTGGTGGTGGAGCTCTTAATTCTTCTGAAGGATTTCCCATCGGGTGGCAGAGCTGGGAGATACCGAAGGGAGTCCTTGGTGCTCTCTGAGCTGGGTTGCCTTCTCGTAGACATCTCACGACCCAACTAGGGAACATTATCTGTGCCAGTAGGAAGTGGGACTTGGGAGAAGGAGGGGGAAGGGTTGAAGTGGCCAACGTTGAAAAATACTGCTAGACTGGGCAATTCTGGGGGATGAAGTCCAATGCCATCTTAAAAGCATATGCTAGATCAGTGTTGGTGAACCTTTCCAGCACCGAGTGCCAAAATAGGAGCACCCATACCAGGAAGATGATCTTCCAGTTTCTGCCACCTGGTTTTCCACTCTCTGGCGTGGATGCGCACGCAAAAACCAGCTGGCGGGAGCGCATGTGCGAACCGGAAACTGGAAAATCATCTTCGTGGTGCGTATGCGGACCAGGTGGCTGCTCTTTCGGTTCCCGGCGCTGCCACACACATAAGAACCAGCTGGCTGGTACTCCGGGATCTGGAAGAGCAATGGGCAATGGCTCACGTGGCCGGAGAGATGGCTTTGCGTGCCATTTCTAGCACACATGCTATAGATTCGCCATCATGGTGCTAGATGGACAGTTTTAGTAACTGTAGGCTACACTGCTTAAGCATGCAAGCTCAGGAATTCTGGGAGTTGGAGTCCACCCCTCTTAAAGCATGATGGCTGGGGGATTCTGGGAGTGGAAGCCCTCCCCTCTTAAAGCATGATGGCTGGGGGATTTTGGGAGTGGAAGTCCATCCCTTTAAAGCATTCTGGATGGGGGATTCTGGGAGTGGAAGCCCTCCCCTCTTAAAGCATGATGGCTGGGGGATTCTGGGAGTGGAAGCCCTCCCCTCTTAAAACATGATGGCTGGGGGATTTTGGGAGTGGAAGTCCTCCCCTATTAAAGCATTCTGGATGGGGGATTCTGGGAGTGGAAGCCCTCCCCTCTTAAAGCATGATGGCTGGGGGATTCTGGGAGTGGAAGCCCTCGCCTCTTAAATCATAGCTGACTGGGGGATTCTGGGAGTGGAAGTCCATCCCTCTTAAAGCATGCTGGCTGGGGGATTCTGGGAGTGGAAGTCCTTCCCTCTTAAATCATAGCTGACTGGGGGATTCTGGGAGTGGAAGTCCTCCCCTCTTAAAGCATGCAAACTAGGGAATTCTGGGAGTTGGAGTCCACCCCTTTTTAAAGTTTTCCAAAATTGAAAAACAGTGACATAATACATCAAGAATGGCTCCATTGTTTCTATCTAATTTAGCACGCTGCCAATTTACACCTGGATATATTTGATCCCCCAGGAATTCTCCTCTTTAAATAGATGTAAAAGTCAGTTCACAGGAGCTGATTAAACAAACCATGAATCAGAAAGGCTAACCAAGATAGTTTTCACGTTGTTTGTCTGTCTTCACGTCTTCCCATTTGAACTGGTCCTGCCCTCCTCTCACGCCGCCTCGGGAAGAGCCAAACATGGTGGAGGCTTAACCCGGATCTACAAAAGAAGAGTTTAAAGTAGGTTAAACTCCAGTCTAGTTACGAGACGGGAGTTCTGTGAACCTAGCGTAAGTTGGCTTATTGCATTCATGATTTGCCCGAGGAAGACCAGTGTTGTGCATGTAGTCCTCAACCTACGACCACAATATAGCCTGAACTTTTTACGGGTAAGCAATTAACGGAGGTTTGTCCCATTTTGCCACCTTTCTTGCCATAGTTGTTAAACGAGTCAGTGCCAAGTTAGTCACATGGTTGTTAAGGGAATTTGGCTTCCCCACTGATTTCGTTCGTCAGAAAAGGGGATTGCATAAACCAAGGAACACTGTGACCGTCATAAATAGGAGCCAGTTGTCAAGCAAACGGATTTGGGTCAGGTGACCCACAGGTGCGCTACAACGGTTGTTAAGTGTGAAAATCACTTTTTTTTCAGTGCTGTTGTGACTTTGGTCACTAAACAAAAGGTTGCAAGTAAAGGGCTGTGGGTTCCAACATGGTTTGAAGCATTTGTCGTTCAAATGTGGCGTTAGTCCACATTTTAGAGAGAGAGAGAAAAAGTCAAAAGATGATGTCATAGAGATCAAAGTTGACTAGTTTAAGAGAGTGGACTTCAATTCCCAGAATTCCCCAGTCAGCTTTGCTGGCTGGGGAATTCTGGGAGTTGAAGTCCACACCTTAATGTAGCAGAGATTTAAAGTAGCAGAGAATTCTGGGAGTTGAAGTCCACACATCTTAAAGTAGCAGAGATTTAAAGCAGCAGAGAATTCTGGGAGTTGAAGTCCACACATCTTAAAAGTAGCAGAGATTTAAAAAATTCTTAAAGAGAAGTGGAGACGCCAGAATAATGTCAACCCCTACCCCCAACATGATCCTGTGTCCCCCTCATCTTCCTCATCCTCACCCCAAATGCGGAAAGAGCTTCAATTCTACCAGCTGGATCTCCCCCCCCCCCAGATATATGTCCTCCTATACCAGACAGCAGCGACCACTCAAAAGCTCAGGAACCCCTTGAAGCTTCCGTGGATGCGACCACCACCACCCTTCCCAACCCCACTCTAGCTGGGGACGCAGCCCACCGGGCTGGGGAAGATGGGTTTTCGTATTCCCCGGTTTGCAGACCTCAGGGGCTGGTTCACGGGCTCCCCAGCGCATTGCAAAGGAGAAAAGGGGTGCATTGCAAGGAGCGCGCTGTTTTAAGGGGAGCCCCGCCCCAGGAAAGGACGGGGAACCCACCACCACCCCGCAAATCCCGCCAGCCAGTTCAACCCAGTCCAGCAACCTTAACTGCAGCTTCACGTGCAAAATCCAGAAGTCGCTTCCGCAAGCTTGGGCGGAACCATCCGTTCTTGTAGGAGGGGGGGAAACGACGAAGCGGGCTGGACCAATCGGATCAAGGAGCGCGGGCGGTGGGGGGGGGGGATTTTCTAACGGAAACGCCTCCACTCAGCGTTGAAAGCTGGCAGAAGTTTTCAATTAGTTTTTAAAAAGGAAAAAAAAAAGGAAAAAAAGCGGGCTTGCAGGGAGAAATAAACTAAACTAATGATTATTTTTTTTGCCCTCAATTCCGGAGTAATTTTTCTAGCCACTTTGGGGGGAGGGATTTGTAGTGGCTGGGGATGCTGGTCAATGTAGTCCCCATGCACACACCGGGGTGTGTGTGGCGCCGTAGGATTAGTTGGGAACAGTTGTTGCAGAATGTTCCCAGCCATATAGGCATTTGAGGTGCCCAATTGGTGCTTGTGGGGCTAGTAATTCCAACTTCCATGATCCCCAGCCAGTAAGAGTGCACTGGATTAGGGTTGCAGACATCCAATTTCCTGCTTTGTCCCAGGAAGAAGAAAATTGTGTTTCTGGATGCATTGGGATGGAGGCCACTTCACTCTCCCCCCCAGGATTCTGGATATGACTACAATGTCCATCCTCCTTAGCCAGCAAAGATGTTAATCCCAAACCATGATAAAGCCTAATTTATGCATGGCTTGTAAAAAAAGCTACAGCAGATACGGAGTTCGCTGGTTCATCTCACCTGAATACAGTCCTGCGAGGTAGGCCACCAACATTTTATTAAGTCTCCCAAATATTTTAGAACAGTGAGAACTTGCTTCTCTCTCTAAAAAATGTTTGAAAATATCCTAGATTTAGGTAGCGAGTGACTACAGGTTCAGCGATATCAGGGTTTTGCAAGCGTGGCCCCTTTTAAGAGATGTGGACTTCAGTCCCCCCAATTCTCCAGCTGGCCATGCATCTTAAGAAATTCTGATCTACTGCTCCTTTTCCCCCCCTTTTTCCCCCCAAAAAATTTTCATTGCTAAGCAAGGCAGTTTTGGAAGTGAGCCCCAACCACTTTTATGACCGGTTTTATGATTGTTAAGCAAATCACTGCAGTTGCTAAGTGAATCACACAGTCGTTAAACAAATCCAGCTTCCTCTTGCATTTTCAGAAGCCAGGAAGACAATCACATGAGCCTAAGATGTAAAACACACACACACACACACACCCAAGTCAGCTGTCAAGGATACAAATTTTGATATGTGATCATGGGGATGGCTGCAATGGTCATAATTGCGAGGACCAGTTGTAACTCACGTTTTTATTTATTTATTAATTAAATATATTTATATGCCGCCCAATCCCAAAGGACTCCGGGCGGCTTATAAAAAATATTTTAAAAAACCACATAACGATAAAAACAATTTAAAAACAACAAACATCCCTCATACATTCATTCTAACCGGGGCTGGACCTCAACAGTGAGGTCAACAGCCCCAGGCCTGCCGGAACAGCCAAGTTTTTACAGCTTTCCTGAAGGCCATGAGAGTGGGTATGGTCCGGATTTCCGGGCGTAGCTGGTTCCAGAGAGTCGGAGCAGCCACCGAGAAGGCTCTCCTCCGAGGGCCCGCCAGCTGACACTGTCTGGCTGACAGCATCTGAAGGAGGCCCAGTCTGTGGGATCTTACTGGCCGCTGGGAGGTATGTATCAGAAGGCGGTCTCGAAGGTATCCTGGCCCTAAGCCATGTAGGGCTTTAAAGGTGATAACCAACACCTTGAATTGCGTCCGGAGACCAATTGGTAGCCAGTGCAGCTCGCGGAGGACAGGTGTAACGTGGGTGTACCTCGGNGCAGGAGGCCGTCGCAGCTGAAAACGGAGCTCGGGAGTGTTTTCACTGGCGGAGGGTTGCAGGAGGCCGTTGCAGCTGAAAATGGAGCTCGGGAGTGTTTTCAGTGGCAGAGTCCCCGGGCGACCACAGGTGTTCCCAACATGAGTGATGTCAAGCTGGCCACGCCCACTCTGCCACCCCCTACCCCACCTGAGGTAAACCCCCACCTAATGCAGCCTCAATGAAATCGAGTTTGACACCCCTGTTCTGGAGTCCAGTCCAACCCCCGGCTCAAAAGCGATGCTGCATGCTCAAAAACCTGCAGACTTCTCCAAAACTGTGATTTGGAGGCAAGATGGCTGCTGTGGCTGGCCATGCCTTTTTTCCCCAGTGTCTAGTATGGATTGGGTTTTGTTTTTTTCCCTTGATTGAACCTTGTGGGGCAAGGGGCATCTATAGGTGGCAAGCCACTATTTAGCCTTCGGAAAAGCTGGCCACAACATCCTCCTTCAACATCTCTAGAAGGAGAACACACAGAAGAGCTGAATGCGGTTTAGTTCCAACTGCCATTCAAGATGGCTACCCACAAGGATGAACCCTGTGGGGCAAGCGGCGTCTATAGGTGGCAAAATGGATTGAAATGTGAAAAGACTATGACAGACAATCTCATACGATCTCTGAGTAGAACCAGGTTCCTGGCCCAGCGGCTAGCAACCATTGGCCCACGCTGTCTCGAACCGCTTACCGTGAGCTGCCCAGCCCCATCAGGCGGTCCACATTCTTCTCATCAGCATCTCCTTCATTGCGTTTGCAGACTTCGGCGAGCTCCTGGGGGGGGAACAATCACAGATAGGCATGAGGCCACTAAGCCGCCATATGAGCCCTTTGGGCGATGGCAGGTAGTCCTCCGCTTCATTTAGCGACAGAACTGAAAAAAGCTACTTGCGACTGTTTCTCACGCTTACGACCATTGCGGCATCCCCATGGTCAAAACTGGCAACTGACTCATATTTATGACCATTGCTGGGTTACGTGATACCCTTTTAGCGACCTCCTGACGAGCAAAATCGACGGGGAAGTCAGATTCGCTTAACAACCGTGTGACTCACTTAACAATGGTGGCAAGGAGATCGCAAAATGGGGCAAAATTCGCGTAAAGTCTCAGCAACTGTGGGTCATAAGTGGAGGGCTGATCTGTACCACCTTAAAAGCAGCATTTGCAATTTTTTTCCCTTGGGCCAAAGTGACGGCATGCTTTCTATCCATGTCAAAAAAAAAATATTAAAACATACAAAGAAGAAATCCAAGCAGATCCAATTGTGAGCCTCTTATTAAAACTGAAATATTTTGAAATTAATAACTGATTTCTGAGGAAACTGCCAAGTGAAGTAATTCACGACCTTATTTTATTCTGTTGCTGTTTACTATGAAACCCGGGGTGCGGTGCACTAAAATAACATTTAAGAAGCGACTGTACAGTTATAGAGACTAATTTGATTCTGAACTTAACAANAGGCGGTCTCGAAGGTATCCTGGCCCTAAGCCATGTAGGGCTTTAAAGGTGATAACCAACCCCTTGAATTGCGTCCGGAGACCAATTGGTAGCCAGTGCAGCTCGCGGAGGACAGGTGTAACGTGGGTGTACCTCGGCACACCCAATATCACCCGCGTGGCCGCATTCTGAACTAACTGCAGTCTCCGAAGGCTTTTCAAGGGTAGCCCCATGTAGAGCGCGTTGCAATAATCCAGCCTCGAGGTGACAAGGGCATGAGTGATCGTTAGAAGCGCCTCCCGATCTAAATAGGGCCGCAATTGGTGCACCAGGTGAACTACCGCACGGTTGTGACTTAAAACAGTCACTAAATAAATGATTGTAACTCAAGGACGACCTGTAAATTTTATTACCGAATTAAACCAAGAATGTTTGGGTTTGCACGCTAACTAACCATGTCACAAATGCCTTCCGCCTTCAAACAGATTAGCATTTCCCCCCCAAAATACAACCACAGCAATTAGAAATAAATCTCTTTATTTGTGGGTGGATCGTCATTCCTTTGCACCTCCTATAACATTCTAGTTATTTACTGCCATGGAATTTTGTTTTTCTTAACTACCAAAAAAAACCAAACCCTCCCTCATTTTTTATTCCAAAATTTCTCGTAATATTCCTGTTGAAAGTCGTCTTCAAACGTTGCAACTTCTTCTTGTCCTTTCTTGGACTTCATCAGGCTCTTCCTCCTCAACCGGCTTCTCCTTTCGGCCTCGGGGAGGGTGCTGAAGTCCACGGGCATCTAGAAAGACAAAAACAGATGGCTAGACTACTACGGGAAACCTACCTGGGGCTGCCCTTGAAGACTATCCAATTCAATTCTCAACCGACTTACTAGCTGGACTGTGTTGCTTTGAGTATCTGACACCTGTGTTGGTAGGTTGAGTTCCGAAGGCTAGTTTTAACTTCAAAAGACATTTATTATTACAAATAGTCTTCCAGTTACGGCCATAACTGAGCCCCCAAAAGACAATTTTACCCCATTCGATGAACTTTCTTGCCATGTAAATCATATAGCTGTTTAGTTAATCAAATGGTCACTAAGTGAATCTGGCTTCCCCATTGACTGCGACCGTCATAAATATGAGTCAGTTGCCAGGTGTCTGAACTATTGATCACGGGACCATGGGGTGCTGCTAAGCCGAGGTGGCGCAGTGGTTAGAGTGCAGCACTGCAGGCTACTTCAGCTGACTGCAGTTCTGCAGTTCGGCGGTTCAAATCTCACCGGCTCAGGGTTGACTCAGCCTTCCATCCTTCTGAGGTGGGTGAAATGAGGACCTGGATTGTTGTTGGGGGCGATATGCTGACTCTGTAAACCGCTTAGAGAGGGCTGAAAGGCCTATGAAGCGGTATATAAGTCTAACTGCTATTGCTATTGCTAAGGTCGTAAGTGTGAAAAATGGTCATAAGTCACTTTTTTCACTGCCATAACTTCAAATGGTCACTAAATGAATGGTTCTAGGTCAAGGACTACCTGCATTATTAAATTTTTAAGCAGCCATCTCTTGTATAAGGGGATGCAAGTTATAAAGGAGGTAGAAAAACGTATGGCTCAGATTCCTGCAGGAATTCTGCGATGTTATGAGTTTGTGTGATACAGGCAGTCCTCAACTTACGACCAAAACTTAGCCCCAAATTTACCTTGCTAAGTGAGAAATCTGTTAAGTGACCTTCATCCCATTTCACAACTTTTCTTGCCACCGTTGTTAAGTGAATCACTGTAGTAGTTATGTTAACAACACGGCTGTTAAGTTAATTAACTTCTCAACTGGCATTGCTGTTGAGAGGGTGACAAAAAGGGATCACGTGACCCCAGGACACGGCGACCGTCATTAAGTAGGAGTCAGTTGCCAAGCGTCTGAATTTTGATCACGTGGCTGTGAGGCGGCTGCCACAGTCGTAAGTGTGAAAAACGGTCATCAGTTACTTTTTTCAATGCTATGGTAACACTTTGTCACTAAACAAAACTGTTGTAAGTAGAGGACCAGCTGTATATTGGTTGTTGTGGGTGTATATATCTGCAATCCCACACAACCCCCAGCAATTTACTTTCCCCCTCTGTCAGCAAGAAGAATTAATAAAACAAACCAACAAAACTACTGCAAAACACACACAGTCCTTGATTTACAACTGCCATTGAGCCCAGAATTGAGATCATAAATTATACTGACTTTTAGGTCCCAATTTTGTAAACTTTTTTACAAAAAAGTGTCCCAATTTTGTAAACTTTTTTTACAAAAAAAAGTGTCCCAATTTTGTAAACTTTTTTACAAATTTTTTTTTGGGGGGTGGTCGTTAAGCAAACCATCATGGCTGCTAAGCGACTCTGCAGTCGTTAAGCGAACCTGTTGTCTGCAATAGGCCACAGGGGCTCAGAAACAAGGCAAACGGCTGCAACATGGTTTAGGGAGTCCTATTTTGCCTCTTTCTGCCAACCTAGCAGTTCGAAATGACGTAAAAAATGCAAGTAGAACAACAGGAACCACCTTCGGTGAGAAGGGAACAGCGTTCCATGAGGCTTCGGCATCTAGTCATGCCGGCCACATGACCACGGAGACGTCTTCGGACAGCGCTGGCTCCTCGGCTTTGAAACGGAGATGAGCATTGCCCCCTAGAGTCGGGAACGACTAGCCCATATGTGTGAGGGGAACCTTTACCTATTCTGTCTCTGCAAAGAAAACCAGGGGGGTTTAATTCTCACCTGAATGATACGCCTTGGCTCTTTGTACCGGAGATGCACTGTAGATCCGTCCAGTCTAACCAGTAGGACCGGATACAGCCGGGCGTACTTCAATCTTGGAAAGCAAGCGATGGACGTCCGATTCGAATTCAGCTGGCTGGGCGTTGTGTGAAGCCCACAAGCCCTGAGAAGGCACCTGGACAGACTCTCGACCTGCAGGATGCTGGAACCAATTCAGAAACAGAATGAATGGCATATTTTAAAAGGGATGGACCTCAACTCCCAGAATTCTCCAGCATGCTTTAAGAGGGGTAGACTTCAAGCCCCAGAATCCCCTAGGCTGCATGCTTAAGCAGTGTAGACTGCAGCTGTTAAAACTGTCCATCTACCACCATGATGGCGAACCTACAACATGTGATCTTATGGCATGCATGTCACAGGTGGCACACAGAGCCATATTCACCCGTGTGCCAGCTAGCTGATTTTTGGCCTTCTGGAGAGCTGAGGGAGGCCATTTTCACCCTCACCAGGCTTCAAGAAAGCCTCTGGAGCCTGGGAGGGCTATAAGTCTCCCCTCCCCCATGCGGAGGGGAGGGGGGAAGGCACACACATGCGAAGGGGGGGGGAGTTGGGCAGATTCCATTGTGGGTCTGGAAATGCGCCTTACAAAAAGGTTAGCTATCACTTCCTTAGGTAATATGCTGGCTTGGGAATTCTGGGACTTGAAATCCATCCATCTTAAAAGTTACCAAAATTGCAGTATTATTTTTTTAATTTTTATTTTTTAAATCTTATTTCAAGATATATTATACCCTTTTCAGAATGCCTCTGCTGTTCAGTTCTGGATTGCGAGTCTCTAGGATTTCTGCTAAGACTATTCCGGGAACATCCTAAATACCTTAAACTCCTGCTTATAGCTGCCATTCTGGCGTTCAGTGAGGCTCTGGGAATAGATCCTGATCAGGAATTCTTAAGAGGATTAAACTGCTTGGCTGTTTTTCAGAGCCATAATGCGAGGCGCTTGATAACTGGAAGAAGAGAAGAAAGCAAAAACTCGTTACAATCTTTGGATCTGTTATTTTGTGCCTCCAATGTTGGAAATAAACTTTTAGAGGGGATTTTCACCCCAAATACAGGTTAATGCATGGGTAGCACATACGTGAATGAATGGAATGAGTGAATGAACAAATGCAAGAAATAAAAACTGCAAGTTTTGGTGGAGTTTATTCTCAGGAAGTATCTTGGGTTGTTTGCAAAATTGTGATTTGGGCATTGCTTATTTAAATTCCATTTTTGGGGGTTAGGGTCCCCAATTTCCAACAGCCAACCACAAGACATACCAAGAAAAAAAAATAGATACACAACCCACCTATCAAACCTGATAAAATTAAATTACTACAGCTTAAAGTAGAATAATTTAAATCCGCTTCGATGGTGCTGAAATATTGCACCGAACTCTGAAAAGTAGAAGAAAAAGCTTTTAAGATGGCTAGAAAGGACACAAAACGTAGGCTTACGCAGAAGAAAATGCAAAAGAAATCAAGTAGCTCTCGACTTACGACCACAATTGATTTCTGTTGCTAAGTGAAACATTTGTTACGGGAGTTTTGCTCCATTTTTCCACCTTTCTTGCCACAGTTGTTAAGTGAATCACTGCAGTTGTTAAGTTAGGAACACAGTCGTTAAGTGAATCCGGTTTCCCTATTGAACTTTGCTTATCAGAAGGTTGCAACAGGGGATCGCATGACTCCGGGACACTGCAACCGTCATAAATATGAGTCAGTTGCCGAGGGGCTGAATTTTGATCACGTGACCACGGGGAGGCTACTATGGTTGTGCAGAAAATGGTCATAAATCACTTTTTTCACTGCCGTTTAAGTGAACTGTTGTAAGTTGAGGACTACCTGTAAATGGAAGTGGGTTTCAGGGTATACTGCCATGGAATCTGGAGGCTCTATAAGGCAGTCAGGCTCTATATAGAGATCTCCAAACTGAGTAACTTTAAGATTTGTGGGAAAACTCACAGAATTCCAGGGAGTCGAAGTCCACAAATGTTAATGCTGCCATGTTTGGAGACCCCTACTCTATATAAGGACGCTCTACTATACCCTCACCCCCTTCCTCACTTTAGCACACTAAAACAGGGGTTGTGTGTCCCCCCTCTAGGATTCAATGAGAACATCTAAACATTGGAAATGTCCCTAGAGGTCATCCATTCTGATGCCCTGGAGTACAGGCCCCATCATTCCCTCCCCTGGCTGATGGGAGATGTAGTCCAAGCCATCTAAGAGAGGATCCTGGCTGGACAAAGCCATAAAGGCGACAGTTTGGGCAAGCCCAGATATCCTGGCTTGTTTCATTAGCCAAGTTTAAGCCAATCGTGGTTAACTGGGGCTTCTTTTTGCTTTGCACCCATCTCAGGTCGCCAGTTCGAATCTCTAGTACAGGTCCCCTGTGTAAGCAGGGGGTTGGATTAGATGACCTCCAAGGTCCCTTCCAACTCTGTTACTGTTACTGTTGCTATTTCCCATCCCCGAAATGAATTGCCTCCCAGGTCCATGTCCTTTCCCCCACCAGTTATCGCAATGGTTTGATCCTACGCCCCCCCTTTCCACTTGCCGGTGGTTCGATCCTTGCTTTCCCACGCTGCGAATACGCGGGGCCCGCTTCTTCTCTTCCCCTTCTTTCGTAATGGTTCAACCTATCGCCGCCCTCCCCTCGTCCATGTGCCGAATGGTTTAACCCGGAACGGCGGCAGGTAGGTCATCTATGCATGTGACTCCTGGCTGGCTCCGCCGGGCGCTTTCTACGTCATCTCCTGCGTCTGTGACGTCGTCTTCCGCGCCGCCCTCCCAGGCTGCCTTTCGGAGCGGCCGGAATGTACAGTGCTCCCTGATACGGGGCGGAGCTTGCCTGGGGCGGTGGGGCCCGGTCATGGCCCGCCCCGTCTCTCTGAGTCATCCTTCTCGGACGCGGCTCCGGTTTGGCTCCTCATGCGGTGGCGGCACTTCTTGTCCGCTGCAGTTTCAGGTGAGTGCAACAGCTTCGGGGTTCCCCCACGCCCCATTTAGCCTTTGCGGTGCGTGCATAAATGTGCCCCCCCTGGATCCCGCACTGCGTCGCATTGGTTCCACCATAGTTAATGGCGCTCTGCGTGCCTTCCCTTTGCTTTCTTCCAGGGCGCTTAGCTGGCCGGGAGTGATGGGCCTCGTGGTCCTTCCGGCGCACGTGGTGATACGACACTTTTAGGGGGGGATGCACAGAATGACCAATGCATTAATTGGAAGAATGACTATTTGAAGGGACCATTGGGCTACCCCTGAGATCATCCAGTCCAACCCCTATTTCATAGATAAATCCACATCAGAGAGCATCCCACAGTTGTCCAGAGAATCGCTATGGACACTGACTGAAGTAGAGAGGGATGTCCCCCCCCCTAGGGTTCAATGAGAACATCTAAACATTGGAAATACCCCTAGAGGTCATCCATTCTGACCCCAGCTAAGATCAGGATCCCCTGGAGCATTTCTAACAGCTGAGCAGAGAAGGGCCAGTTTTATCTGCAAGCCCTCAATTTATGACCCCAATTGTGTTTAATGAGCCACATCCGATTTTTTAGATTATAGTTCCCATCGCCTTCAGGCATCAGTTGTTGGACACTAGCCCATAATCCAAATCCCCCTAGTTTCTGGGGCTTCTTTAAAATAATCTAGTGACCATTACCCTGAATGCAGCCAGCTCTGCTCACTTTATAAGTAGAATCATCATCCAGAATCATTTCCTTTGATGACAAATGGCTGTGCTCTCAATTTTATTTTATTTATTAACATGTTTATATGTGGGGCCCTTAGTGCTCTCTGAGCTTGGCTTGTTTTTTTTGCAGACGTTTCATTACCAAACTAGGTAATGCCATCAGTTGTTGCCAGATTATCTCTTTTAGCACTGATGATGTTCCCTGGTTGGCTCATGAAATGTGTACAAGAAAACCACCAAGCTCAGAGAGCACCAAGGACCCCACAGTCTTCCTCCTCCTCCTCCTCTCCACAACCTCCCTCCCTTTTAGAATTGATGATGTTCCCCTGTTGGGTTATGGAATGTCTGCAAGAAAACCACCAAGCTCAGAGACCACCAAGGACCCCACAGTCTTCCTCCTCCTCCTCCTCTCCACAACCTCCCTCCCTTTTAGAATTGATGATGTTCCCCTGTTGGGTTATGGAATGTCTGCAAGAAAACCACCAAGCTCAGAGACCACCAAGGACCCCACAGTCTTCCTCCTCCTCCTCCTCTCCACAACCTCCCTCCCTTTTAGAATTGATGATGTTCCCCTGTTGGGTTATGGAATGTCTGCAAGAAAACCACCAAGCTCAGAGACCACCAAGGACCTCACAGTCTTCCTCCTCCTCCTCGCACTGATGATGTTACCTAGTTGGGTCAAAAAAAAAAAAACCTGGAATAAAACCATCAACCATCAAGCCATATCAAATGTCCCACAGTTCAACCTTGAATTACAAATATTCTCTTCCACCAGTACAAATGTATATGACTGCCCACATAGGTGATTCTGAGGGGCTCACAACATTAAAATTTTGAGGCACACCGAGCTACCAAAATTATTAAAAATAATTACTGGTATAATTCTGTTACGGTTTCTGCAAGTAGGATGGAAATACAGGTAGTCCTCAAATAACAACAGTTCATTTAGTGACCATTTGAAAAAAAAACTTTTTGACTGTTTCACAAAAAGTGAAAATGACTTATGACCATTTCTCACACTTACGACTGTTGCAGCATCCCCAGGGTCACTTGATCCAAATTTAGACGTTTGGTAACTGACTCGTATTTATGACGGTTGCAGTGTCCTGGGATCACATGTTCCTCTTTTGCGACCTTCTGACGAACAAAGCCAGTAGACGAAACCAGATTCACTTAACAACGGTGTACCTAACTCAACAACTGCAATGATTCACTTAACAACTGTGGCAAAAAAATATTTGTGAAATGGGACAAAACCCAGTTAACAAATGTCTCACTTAGAAACAGAAGTGTTGGGCTCAATTGTGGTGGTAAGTCGAGGATTATGTATATAAATTCTCAGGGCTGAAGTATCAATTTTGTCAATTGCTTGGAATTCTTTAACTCACGTGAAATTAGAATAAAACCTGAATGATAATCAGTTCCAAGAATCCAGAAAGGATGGTTAAAAAACAGATATATTAAAAGTCTTCAATATTCTGAAATCAGTTCTGATGAATAGTTAGGATTATGAAGATGGTTTTTTTTTAATCTAAAAACTTATTTTCGGAGAGAATGAATTGAAGTTTAGAAGCTAAGGGCAAATGCCAAATTAAATACAATGAAGCATCTTATATATGTCCTTTTGGCAATTATTAAAGCTGGAGCTGTCCAGTTATTTACAGGATGACAAGCAACTGAAGCAGGAAATATCTAATTATTGCTGCTTTTGCTGGAAAGCACATGTGCTGTGCTGTTCCCTCTTAGTGAATTTTATGCATGGCTTATAATGCACGAACAGCCTTTGAAAGCAGGGTGAATTTCCCAGTAATTTATATAATTTATCTATTCCTTTAGTGAACCTCTGGGCCATCAAATCATAACTGAATTCCACCTGCTTTCAACAGAATCAGTGAGATAAAAGCACATCAGAACAAGCAAGCTGCAAGAATCAAAGCATGGTGTAAATTAATAAATCAAAATACAAGTAATTCTTGACTTACAACAGTTTGTTTAGTGTCCATTTGAAGTGACAATGGCACTGAAAAAAAGAGACAAGATCGTTTTTCACACTTATGATCATTGCACATCTCCCTAGTCATGTGATCAAAATTGAAACTTGGGCAACTGACTCCTAAATTCCCATTCTCCTTCCTCCCTCCCTCCCAGCATGGATCAGTTTAATGATTTTTTAAAATGTTAATTTTTATTATTATTTTTACAAATATCTCAAGGTGGCAAACACACCAGTAATGAATATACCTTTCACCCCTTATTTTACCCACAGCAACAACCCTGTGAGGTAGGTTGGGCTGAGAGAGAGAGAGACGGATTGAACCAAGGTCATCCTGCTGGGTTTCATGCCTAAACTAGAACTCTCCATCTCCTGGTGTTTGGCCCAAAGTCACCCAGTTGGCTTTCATTCCTAGGATGGGACTAGAACTCTCAGTCTTCTGATGATTGACCCAAAGCCATCCAGCCTGTTCTCATACCTAAGGCAGGCCTAGAACTCACCATCACCTGGTGATTGGCCCAAAGTCACCCAGCTGGCTTTCTTGCCTCGGGCAGGACTAGAACTCCCCGCCTCCCATTTTCTAGCCTGGTGCCTTAAACTCTTAATCCTAAATCTCTAGACCAAAGAGTTTAAACTGCATTCTTTTTGATCCAATTCCTTCTTTGCTCTTCACTTTATACCTACGTCATCTGAAAGGAGCAGAGCAAATTTATCTTAACACCATGACGTGGTTTGCAAATTTGCCTCCCAAATTATTCCATTCTGGTCTCCTTGATCTTAATTTAACGACTTATATACCTCTTCTTTCCCCCTGTCCTTGGAGTGGCCATTGTAAATGAGGTTTTAGATTAAAGCAGTCTATAAATAGGAAATAAGATTAGCGGTGCTTAATTGGGAAAGGGTGGCTTTTTATAGGCCTCCTAATCATCTTTTCTTCGGGAGCCAAACGCTCTTCTCTTGCTGAATTTTCCTTGCTTGTCAAGACATTCTTGTCCTCATCAAACAGTGTCCCCCGGATTTCATTCCTCACTTCTGCAAATGCCCCTGAGGACGTTTGGTTTCGAACCCGTGGCCTTTCTGTGGCCAACGGCTGCATTTAATCCGATGCACCACGTGGCCGAAACTCGTGGGCCTGTCAGTCACGCGAAAAGGGATAGAATCCGGGGAGTCCTCGAATTACGAACCACGATTGAGCCCAAAATCTCCATCGCTAACCAAGACAATGGTGAAGTGAGTTTTGCCCCATTTTACGACTTCCCTTGCCACAGTGGTTTAAGCGAATCACTGCAGTTATTAAGTTAACAACACGGTTGTTAAGTGAACCTGTATTTCCCCCCATTGACTTCGCTTGTCAGAAGGTCGCAAAAGGGGACCATATGACACACACACACACGGGACACAGCAACAATCACAAAACCATGGAAGTTGCCAAGTGTCTGAATTGTGATCCATGGGACTGTTGGGAGGCTGTGGCGGTCGTGTGAAAAAGCGTCATAAGTCACTTGTTTCAGTGCCGTTGTAAGTTGGGACAGCCACTCAACAAATGCAGACATCTGGAGCGAAAAGGCAGTGAAACAGCTGGGAAGAATGGTAGCTTTACACTGTCTACAGCAATGTATCTCCATCTCCGTAACTTTTTAAAGATGCATGGACTTCAACTCCCAGAGTTCCCTAGGCAGCACCCATCCAGCTGGCTGAGGAATTCTAGGAGTTGAAGTCCGTGTGTCTTAAAAGTGGCTGAGTTTGATAAATATTGGTGTAGAGAATAAGAAATGTAACTGGACAGAGATAGGCCAGGTCCATTTATCAGACCTATTGAGGAGAAAAACAATTGACGTCTAAAACAAGGAAACATATATGTAAGCAATTCAGATGCCTCCTTAATTCATATATGTATAAGGGGGGGCTGAAGTAATCTTCAAAGATACTCTTGATTATGGTGGAGTTGCTGTCAACTCTTACTGACCGCCTAGATCTATCTCCTCCTGGGAGGAGTCACCTGTCTGAAGAATTCTGGGTATTGAAGTCTACAGTAGAAGTTGAAGTCCACATGTCCATTGCAGTTGTTGAGGATGGGAGACAGTGGTGAATAAGGAAGATGACCTGGACAGAGATAGCCTAGGTCCATTATCAGACCAGTAAGGGGGGAAAAAACAGTGTAAAAGGAGACTTATGCAAGCAATTCAAATACCTCCTTAATTCACATATGTATAAGGCAGTATTTCTCAACCTTGGAGACTTGAAGTCCTGTGGACCTCAACTCCCAGAATTCCCCAGCCAGCTG